TGGGGGTATCCACAGCCCTCCCCGCACAGGACCCGTTCCGACACTGCGGATGCTTCCCTTTGCTCCAGACATGAATATTCACTGGGAGAGCTCTTACGCATCGTGCATCTCCCAGCGCATCCCTGGCACTGCGCAGGAGCCCGTCTGCAGAGCGGTGGGAAGGGCTGGCTTTTCATTCCCCTCCTACTTGCGTGCAGCGCATCTGGAGCCGAGCGGTAGCTGTTGGACTTTCAGCTTTGGCTGCTCGTTCGTTTGGGGTGTTTCTGGGCTGGCAGTGGTGTTTCCTGAGCTGAGGAGTTCAGTCTCCTCAGGGCAGGGATGTTGTGTGAGCATTGGATTGTCAGGCTCTTGGCAGGAGATCTCACCGTGAGGTGTTCTCGACTCTGCCAGCCTGGAAGAATCAGGGCTTAAGATCTCTATAGGCAGTGCTTGCGTGAAGATTTTTCCCTTTCCTTGAGTGATTGGGGAGTTCAGTTGAGAAGAGTGGCTGTTCTCCAGGAATTTTGTGAAGGCAAAGAGTAGTTGGGGGGTGTTTCAAGGAAGCAGGGCTGTTTATTGATGTCATTTCTGGTGGTGATGCTGCCTGAGCAGTTCCAGTCACCTCGTAGCTTAAGGGAGCTGACATTTTGCAGGAGTGTAGGCTTAGGGTAATAGGAACAAGGAAAAGAAGGGCTGGCTGAAGTGTGCTGCAGGAGGACTCCTTTCACTGGATGTTGGATGATGAAATGCCAGAGGAAATTGCTAGTAGATAAATGAAAGCATTGCATGTGGGAGGATGAAGGGGGCTCACAGTGCGGCATATGGCCTGAGGAGTGCTGCACCAGGTGTTCCTGCTCTGAAAGGAGACTTTGTGGTCATCCCGGGGTAAAACGAGTGTCGGAACTCACGAGTGAATGAGCAGAAACCAGCATACAGCATCAGTGTGCCACGGCATAAATGTGGGGTGCTCCCTAGCCTTCAGTACCATGTGTATAGGATGGCTGAGAGGGACTCTTCATCAAGGACTGCAGCCATAGGACAAGGGGTGATGGGTTCAGACTGAAACAGGGCAAGTTCAGGTTAGATCTAAGGCAGAAGCTCTTCCCTGTGAGGGTGCTGAGGCGCTGGCACAGGGTGCCCAGAGAAGCTGTGGCTGCCCCATCCCTGGCAGTGCTCGAGGCCAGGTTGGACAGAGGGGCTTGGAGCAAGCTGCTCTAGTGGAAGTTGTCCCTGCCTGTGGCAGGGGGTTGGTAATGGATGAGCTTTAAGGTCCCTTCCAACCCAAGCCAGTCCGGGATTCCATGATTCTCTGATTTTGGAATGTGTTATCTCTCTGTGCCACAGCATCGCACCTGTAAGATGTGCCATTTGTCAAAGAGATTTTCTCTGGAAATAAGTATCATATAATATTCCTGAGGCATTTCAAAGATGGAGAAATGAGCACATCAAAGTGGCCTTGTGTGCATGAGGAATCCTGTCCTTGGAGAACTGGAATTCCTAGAGGTTTTTTCTAGGAAGGTGCAATCAGAAAGCTGAACATGGACCAGAGAAAGGCAACACAATCATGAACTTGGTGCTTAAGAGAGGACGTCCAGCATGTGCAGAGGCCGTGCTCTGATGTAAATGCCTTAAGTGAATCAGAGTAATGGTACATGAGTGATAATGGTAGTTCTGGTCCTGTCCACTTTTTGTTGCTGGTTTATGCCGGTCACTCTTACGGTCCTTGTTGGTATTGCTTGTTTAATTCAGGTACTCTGTATTGTGCTTTGGTGTCTTATCTTAAGGTGGCTTCCTTTTCCCCTTTTCTGTTCCCAAAAGAATTAAATACTATTTAATCATGAGCAGCCAATTTCGATAACAGGATGCTCTTGGTCACCCTTGTTGTAATGGAAATAATGATACAGTGGAGGCAAATCTTGTGTTTCATTGATTAAAGTAGGTGAGGCTTATTCATTTCATGGGAGGGTTATAGCTGGTGGCTGTGTGTGCTTGGATAAACCAGCAGCGACTGGGCAGGAGAACAGAAATCCCAGATGACCTTTTGTTGTTGTGATTGGTTTTGGGTGTTTGTAAGGGGCTTTTGTGTTCTTTCGGAATCGCATTTTGGATGCTCTCACGGGAAGCCTGAGTTTCCAATTCCAGCTTTTCAGTTAGGGTCTTAATGCCAGGTGATGCAGAAATCCATCCCGTTAAAGTAAATACAGTTCTTCTAGAAGGGTGCATGTTGAACGCTTCAGCAGGTGATGTGTGTATCCTCATCACTGATCTGCATTGTCCTTTTAATACCTAAAATCTGCCACACAGCCATAGCATTGTCCTTGGAAGCACATGGCCTTCTCCAGCCCATGGAGCACCTGCGTGGCATTCCTTGATGTCACTGCTCTTCACAGTGGTTGAGTGGGGCATCGTCATCGGCCAGGCAAAGGTTCTCCTCATCCTCACCTGCCATTAGGCCTTGGAGCAGCAAATGTATTCCCAGCAGAGCCTGAAAGACCTCTGGGAAGTGGCTCCTTAGGTGACGATAGAAGCGCCGTCCCCACGCCGTCGCTGCAGTAGTGTAACCAGCACTGCAGTTTGTGCCATCGCTCCTAGAGCAGCACTGTGTCTTTGTGCTTCTCCTTAAATAAGCCCTGTGAAGGCTCCTGCAGGATTCATTCAGCCTCTGGCTAGAGCCCTTCCTCTCATGTGTTGCACTAACTTGTGGCTAGGTGGGAACTTTGAGCATCTGACCTGTAACTGGAACTTGAGCATCTGACCAACACCGTTTTGAGGTGTGTTGCCTGTAGTTTTACTGCCATCCTCCACTTTACCGCTGGAAAAATAGCTGGTTTAACTTTCAGCCTGAGGCTCTGCTGATCAATACCTTACAAGCACAGTAAAGTTCAAGAAATTGCCTCCATTACTATCTCGAGATGAGAAATTGATTTAGCTTTGTTCTCTCTCTGCTAATTCATCTGCGCTTTACGCTCCCATGAAAGGTATTATGTGCTCCTGATTTTACAGCAGAGTCATCAATCCCGATGAAGAGAGAGGAATTCATGTTGTGGGTATGGGATAGCTGATCTCTGACTTAGCTCTCCGTTTGTAAATGTTGCTGTAGGCTTCACTTCAGCGTTTCCTTGCTGTGCTTTGGTTACATGCAGAATCTAGGGGCTGGGATGGGAGCAAAACTGAACAGAGTGGCAGAGGAACGTAAAATCAAATTGCTTTTTAGTTTAACCCCCAAAAATGAGATGCTGATTGAAATGTGATGAAGGGAATTCAAACCTCACTTGTGAATTGTATGTGGTTTTGCAGTGCTGGGTCCGTTTTCATTATTGCCATCATTTCACTACTTCTGGCCCTAAAACACCCAAAGTTTTATTCTTTAAGTGTGTTATTATGTGTGAGAGCTTTGCACGTCTGCTCATTTACATACAGCTACGTAGGAGTGGTGGTACAGCTCCGATGATGAAGACGCTATAGGGGAAAAGCAGCCAAAACAAGTAAGAAATGCAGGAAGGGGCTTTCCTGGGCATTTATGTTGTTAGCATTCCCATTGTCCATTGGCTTGGCCTCTGTAGGAAGCTCCCAGGGATGGTTTGTCTGCAGAATAGTTTGGCGTTTTTAGGTTTAATTCATTCATTAGCATTCTTTGTTCCAGAAAAAGAGAGCAGAATTGTGTGCTGTGCCTCTGGTCACTGCTCGTGGTACAGCAGTTAGTTTGTAAACGAAATACAAACCTCTTGGCAGGTTCCAAACTGCTGGGTTAAACTGGGGGGTAAATCAGCTTTCTCTTTTGACTCCGCTCGTGTTAAGCCCAGGTATTCCCTGTGCCTCTACGTTACGAAGTGTGAGGCATCCCTGCCTGTGTAGCCGGCCAGCCGGTTCCCCCCACACTGCACTGACTGCTTGTCTGGACTGGAATGGGTTGGTTTCTCTGGGAGGTGGCCTCTCAGAATCCGTATGGAAAGGCGTGGAGAAATGCCGGTGGGCAGTGCCCACTGCTCGCCCCGCATCAGTGGAGCAGGTTACTTGGTTGGAGAAGGTGATCAGGTGTGCCAGACATGACTTACGCTCTGCTTTTCCCAGTCTCATGCTCCATCTGACTTGTGAGAGCCTCCAGGAGGACTTGCTCCATACCATTACCAGGGACTGAAGTAGGACTGGTGGGCCTGGGTCCTCCTTTAAAGCCCTTCTTATAGATGGGGGTGACATCAGCCTTCTTCCAGGCTTATGCGACATCCCCAGCTTCCATAACTCCTCAATGATTATGGAGAGCAGCCTCCCAACAACCTCAGTCAGCTCTTGGGTGTTCAGGGCCTTCCCTAAAAGCCATCTTGGCAGCAGCACCTACAAACCCAAGCGTGTTGTTTTCACTTATGTAACTTCAGATGCCTGCCGTAGATATCTCTTCTGCAGTGGGTGACAACCTGATTATATCTCCCACACCCTCGACTTTCATTAATCCCTCCCTTCCTGATTGCTCTACCTTCTCTTGTTTGTGCAATGCTCCTCATGTAGGTTGCAAGCTCTGGGCCAGCAAATCTCTTCTCCGTGAGAGCATCCAGCTTGTCTCTGGGTTCTGTCCAAGCAGTGCAAGATGCTGCTAAACCTCAGTGGCCTCTGCAGTAGAGGCACAACGTTGTTCTGTTTGTTTCATCACCGTAACCCATTCCTCATTTGCAGCAGGCAAATAAGAAGAGCTGAATAAGAAGAGAAGGCGAATTTACTTGTGTTTCAGTCTGTGATTTGAAGGCCTGGGGATGAATCAATCCCAGAGATTTGACAGTGAAGAAGCCCCTCGCTGTTGATACAGGAAAGACGTTCTAGATTGTTCCTTAAGGGAGTTATAGTGCTGATAGACGTCCTCTGCAACAGTGACTTGAAGAACAGGGTAACATGGAGATACTATAGTGAATAAACGTTAGTATTTGCTTGTGTGGCAATCGGAAGCTCATGGTTTGGGGCAAGCTGGTGATATTTTATGAGAGAATCAGGTTGGGGGAAAACTAATTTCCTTTCTTGTGCCTTATGCTTAGATACATCACTGGGAGACCACAGGATGAAAACAGCATGAGATGTTATGGCAAAGACAGCACAGCAAGCTCCAGGAGTCTCACAGATCCTCAGAAATCAGGTAACGTCGCAGCATCCCATATCCACCTTCTGTGGGGCTTCTGTGACTGGTGAGCCTCAGTGCTTTTTGAGTGCTTCCCAAAAGCTGGGCTTCAGAACCTCTGCCGCTTTATTGATGGGCTTCTCAAATACGACTGCTTTGTGTTTTGTTCTCAAATAGGACTTCTTTCTGTCCTGTAAAACATTATACAGATGATGCCACAGGATGTATGGCACGGGAGATCCCCACTCACTCTGTCTTGAGGGCTACCATGGCTGTAGGAGCCAAGGATGTGCCCTTCGTTCCAAACAGCTACAAAAGGGAACAGCCACGGCAGTCGGCTCTGCACAGCCACTGGGTTTTGCTTGGCTCCGTTGCTGGCTACCAACGGCGTGTGTTTTAGAGGGATTGACTTTTCAGAGGGCCTCTGAGCCCTGTCTCCTTCGGGGGACACAGTGGGCTCCAAACAGCTGTTCCCTCCCTACCCGAAGCTTGCTCATCTGCTGTTTTCCACGTATTATTCCTTCGGCCTGGGTTTTTAATTGTTATCTGTCCCAGGATGTTCCCTTCTTGCCCGTTCTTGCAAACCCAAGCCTATGTTCTCTGCCTGTTTCACAGCATGTGCAGTCACAGAAAAAGGCAATCACATCATAAGCTTCAGAGCATGAACACTGTAGAGGGCAGGAAGAAAGTGGTGAAGTGCAGGATGCCCACCTTCATACTCAGATCATGTGCTTAGCACTGCTGTGGTCACTGCAATAGCTGAGCTTTGAGTGGGAGGGCCTAAAAACTTCCCTTCCTCCCCCAAATCAAAGGCACTGAGCAGAGACTGTGATGCAGCCGCATACGTTAAGTGAGGCGAGATCTGTCCTGAGGTCTTCATGCCAGGGTGTTCTTATGTCTGGAGAACTTGGGTGTTGCTGGGGAAAGCCAAGTCGCTCAGTTCACTACTAAAAGTATGTTAAAATGTGAAGTTGAGGCCAGTTTTCATAGTAAGCCATGTTTTCATTTGAGAGGATGTCGGACTCAGCAGGAGCTTAGTACAGTTTATTTCCTCTAAACAGGCAGTAAACCTGTGTTGGCTGAAGAGATTCCAAACCAGGCTTCGTAGACAGCTTTAGCCTTGCTCAAATCCCCAGTAATGTATTGGTGAATATGAGAAAATCATTGCCTTTATCATGGCCCCTTTAATTTAGACCCCATAGCAGCCTTCCAGTATCTGAAGAGGGCTGAGAAGGATGCTGGGGAGGGACTCTTCATCAGGGACTGTAGTGACAGGACAAGGGGTAGCGGATTCAAACTGAAACAGGGAAAGTTTAGACTGGATATAAGGAGGAAATTCTTTCCTGTTAGGGTGGTGAGACACTGGAATGGGTTGCCCAAGGAAGTTGTAAATGCTCCATCCCTGGCAGCGTTCAAGGCCAGGTTGGATGAGGCCTTGGGTGGCATGGTTTAGTGTGAGGTGTCCCTGCCCATGGCAGGGGGGTTGGAACTGGATGATCTTAAGATCCTTTCCAAACCTAACTATCCTGTGATTCTGTGATTGTATAATGCTGTCTTCTGTATGGTTTTTAGTTGCTTAGTCATGGAATATGGAATTCCAGTGCCCTCCTGGCATTAGTTAAGGTTTGCATTATATTTCTCATCAGTGTCGTGAGGAGATCACAGCAGTGCCTGTTTGCCATTTTATGAAATGATGTGGTACTTGCTCCAGTTGCAGTTTTCCAAACCCTTCCGAGTGCCTACGAACTGTAACACCCATTCACTGACAGCAGAGATAAGCAGATTTATTGAAGCAACCTTCTTTCTTTCTTTGGCACCCATGGAACTATGTCTTCCTTGAGCTCATTTGCGTTAATGGCTTTATGTGGAAGTCAGCCTCCTGTTGAATGACAGGATTCTGTTAGTTTTGGGGGGAAGGCAATGTTTTCGTGCAATCACCTGTGCCTCCCAATGTGTTTTCTGCTTGTATCTTTGATCAAAAGGAGAGGAAGATGGTTTTGCTTGTTTGCCTTCCTTCCTCCTCCCCCTTTGCTGGAGACTTGCCTGAGATGCTCAACTGTTGGTTTGGCTGTTTATTGTTTTTGTTGCCTTTTCTAACTGCACTGAAGCAGAGCAGTGCTCGGTTCCCCTCCCAATGCCATCGCTGCTCTCCTTCCCCCAAGTCCAATGTGTTCTTTATTAAACTGAATTAGGACATTGGAGTCTCCAGTCCTAAGAGTGGAAATGGGAACAGCGTAAATGAGCAGCCACAGGAGACCCAGCAGCCTTTCCAACGGCACTGCGGAGGGAACTCAGCTGCAAAGGGAATGATAATTTTGGGAGGATTTGCACAACTGTTAAAGAATTGCCAGCATTAATATTAAAAGCAGCTCATCTGGTTTTCCCTTCCATTTTGAGAGCGTGTTGCTTTCTTGCCAATGTACTGCACAGTCTGCTTCCTCTCCATCCTTCTTTCACTTTATCGATTGGTTTAGTTGCTTCTGTTCTCACCTGCTGAAGCGGGGTGTTTTGGAGGTGCTGGTTTTGCCTTGGGGTTTGCATGCAGCTATGGGCATGGATTTGAGATCTCTGCCATTCAAAGAATGCCAAAACTGAACTGCAGATGTATCCTGGATTGGGATGCAAAGGTTGTCACCCTGTAAGCGTTTGTCCTTGGGATAGCTGTAGAAAATTCTTGTTTGTCCTTGAAATCCATATTGCTATCCCAGTGTTTGTTCTAACGCAGTAGCCATGATCCTAATACCTTTTGACCCTTATTTTCAGTCTCTCCCTCCCTTTATTGCTACATCAGATGTGTTCAGGGCTTCCAAAGATCTTTTATGGAATAACAGGGTAATCTTTGAGTTGTTACCTTCTCACCTGCCTTTCCCCTTTGCTCTCTGCTCGTTCACCCGACCACCTTGTGCGACACTAGAATTCATTCGTTCTGTTTCAGTACTCTGCTGCCTTTTTCATGTGCTTATTTCCTGTGCCAAAAAAAGCCGAGCTGAGCCTTGAACTGTGGCTGCACAAAGAGTTACAGAGGCAAACCTGGTGTCTAAATAGGCTGTGAGAGCACAGGGGTGGCTGAAGGAAGCCATTCGCCCTCTCACGATTCTGTGCTGCTCAGCCATCCAGTGTTGTCTCAGAGCAGCTTCCAGTGTCTGAGGGGGCTACAAGGATGCTGGAGAGGGACTCTTCATCAGGGACTGCAGTGACAGGACAAGGGGTGATGGGTTCAAACTGAAAGAGGGCAAGTTCAGGTTAGATCTAAGGCAGAAGCTCTTCGCTGTGAGGGTGCTGAGGCGCTGGCACAGGGTGCCCAGAGAAGCTGTGGCTGCCCCATCCCTGGCAGTGTTCAAGGCCAGGTTGGACACAGGGGCTTGGAGCAAGCTGCTCTAGTGGAAGGTGTCCCTGCCTGTGGCAGGGGTTGGAGCTGGATGAGCTTTACGGTCCCTTCCAACCCAAACCAATCTGGGATCCTGTTATAGTCATCACATCTGAAGAGTGCCAGCATCACCCCTGAGAGCTGGACTTGGTAATGCAGGTTTGTGTTCTTAGGTAGTGCTCTCCTGGCTTTTAAAGCTGCTTTTCTCAATGGGCTCTTAAAGGTGGTTGTATGTCGGTAGTGCTCAGCTCAAAGTCAGGCCTGTCTGTGCTGTCACTTAAAGGCTGTGTTACGTTTAACCCATGTGGCAGAGGCTGCTGGTAACATCAGTGTTAACAGAACAGAGGGTACCAGGGAAGGAACTGCTGTATTTTCCAGTGTCTGTCCTAAAGGAAAGCAGAGAGCAAGATGAGGACAATCATAGAATCATGCATGGTTTGGGTTGGAAAAGACCTTAAAGCTCATCTGGTTCCAATCCCCTGCCAGGGGCAGGGATACCTGACAGTAGACCACGTTGCCCAAGCCCCTGTCCGATGGCTCCTTGATTTAGGAATAGATTAGCAGAAGATCTCACAGTTCTGAATAACAAAACAGGCCAATAAAAACCCATTCCAATTCAAAAGGCTAAAAACTGAATCAGATAAATCCTGTTTTGTTTCTGTTGCAGCGAGGGCTGTGTGGGAAATTGAAGGAACAGCACAGAGTACTTCGGTTTTGAATCTCATCTTATCTGCAGTTACAAATGAAGCTTATATTCTAATAACAAAAAGACAGCCCCTTGAGAAACCCCTGTGCAAGTGAAGGCTGGAAGGCACAATTCAAACACGTGTGCAGTGCTGGGAGAACACACAGCAATGACACATTTCTGAAAGCAGGCTTGCCTTAAGTGATATAAAACCCAGTTTAGACCAAGAGTGGTGGTTAAACTTGCCTTAACTGACATGTAACCATGCTGTAGGGAGGGACGTGAAGAGGGGATGGTGCCCCAGCAAGTGAGCATCTGCTGATACTGTTTGTGCTGCCCTGCAGAAGCTGGTTGAACATGGAAGGCTTTTTTTGCATCTGCCATCACATGCAGTCTTCTTACTGAGCCTGCTTCATTCAGCATCTGCTCTCCTACAGTCTTGTGTCATCCCTCTCCATTGACTCAGTTCTGAAAGTGGCACTGGCTGTCATTCAGTCCTTGTTTTGCAGCCTGCGCCCAGCCCAACTTTCATGCAACAGCCTGTTTGGAGTGGATGTCTTGCTCTGAAATCCATGTGGATTCAGGCAGCTCAATAGTGGGACTGTGGCTTGATCTGCTGTGCTGCCTCATGGAGCTGGGAGTGCTCCTGTTTGTTAGGGGGGTTTAATATAGCTACCGTCTCATTGATATTTCACCTCCTGTTGTCTTCTCTATGTTCTTCTGACTCTCCAGTAATATAGTTTATGAAGGAGGGAAGCCAGATCACCTTTACTGACAACTGATAACGCTGGAATACTCTTCCATTTCATGGTTACCAGAATTAAGTTAAGGCGTGCTTCCAGGAGAGACTGTTGCTTGTATTGCCTTACACTTGCTTGTGTTTGCAGAGTTGGAGTGTGTAAAGGCATCTCAGCCAGCTTGGCATGTCCCTGGCTCTCGGGCTGGGGAAGTTGCAGGGGACCATGCTGAAACGATGAGAAAGAGTTGGAGCAAAACCTTGTCTGTTACCCAAGTTCAACTGAACTCCCATTAGTTTGAGTCCAGGTTCTATCCGTAAACTTAAGTGGGGTATTTCTCCTTTTAAGCAGCCTACAGAAACGGTTCTATCCGTCTGCATTTGTTTTGATGTGCCTTTGTAATGATTGCATGATTGGGATACATGTGCGATGTCAGACGTGTAAGAGGTTAAGTAGCATAAATGGCTGTTGGGAAGAGAAGAAACACAACCGTGGAACTATTGTTGCTATAAAACTTGTGCTGCTTTTAGTTGTTTGGTTTAACCATTTAGGAGTTAGAGCTGTGGTAAATTGCAGTGATGGCCGTTCAGGCACCAGCCCCTTTTCTTCCTCCCATTGAAGGAAATAGAAATCATTCAGTGCACTGCCACTGGCTTCTCAGTTGGCCAGAGACTAACTTGGGTGCCCCTAAAGCCTTAATGGTGTTGTGTACAGCACCAAAATGCTCTTAGATTTTAATCCCACAAGAAATGCATACTGTGAGCATTTTGTTAACGTGGTAACAAATGCTCAGTGTGTACAGCACCAGGCCCTTGCATTTAAGCTTGCTCGAGTACCAAAACCACCCCTGGTATCTAAAGGACTGCTTTATTATGCTTGTATCCACGTGCCTGCCTCTTGGTTTTTAATATGCTCCTGAAGGTGCAATACTAATAATGCTTTTTAACATTTGCACTCCTCTCCCTCCGGATATGTTTGAAAGGAATGTTTTCATCTTTCTTTGGGATGGGACAGTGGGGGTTTGAAAACAATGCAAATGCCTTCAAGTGCGATGCTCGAAGGGACTGAACTTTCCCATCCTTTCCTGACCTGGTGTTTTACTATAATTTCCCATTCTGATTTTCTTCAGGTTTATTACAGATGTTTCTGTGTCACTGTGATGCTAACTCTGGCGCTACTTCAGAGACAGGAGTTTTGTCCCAGCTCCCAGACTGGAGGTGTTGTGAGGATGCTGGAGAGGAAGTTTCTATGAGCATTATTTTGGATCCTGAGACAGGGGAGGAGAGAGGTTGGTGCTGATGCTTCAGCTGTAAAACCTTCCCGACTGTTTTCCAGTCCCCTGAGATCTGTATGGGATAAGCCCCAGGCAAAAGGGTACAGTGACTGGAATTTGGTGTGTGCCCAAGGGCTGGCGTTCTCCCTGGTGACCACACGACTCACTGTGGCTGCTGGGGCAGGAGGTAACGTCTGCCATATATATGTGTGCATCTGTGTATATATATGTAAAACCCCCCATATTTATATTTACATTCACATGTATAAAAAATACCAAAATCATGCCATTTCTTGCCTCAAGAATAAGTGCTCTTACTCCTGAAGTACTGACAGCCTTTTAATTGTCCCCTGGCAACACCTATTCTCACTCGCTGGTTTGAATTGCTGTTGTTTCTTGTCCTTTCACTGGTGCTTGTCACTTCAGACTCTAGAAAGAAGAGCCAAACCCAAGGAGCATGGTGCAAGTTACACCACTGTTAATATGGGACAGATCTCCTGTTCAAAAGGTGTATCAGCAGACCCAGTAGTGCCCTGTTTTTATGGGCAGATGTGTTGAGAGCATCTCTGCTCATCTTTCTTGACTTCACAGGCGTAAGAGGAGATGCATATTCCCTCTTTTCCTCTAGAAGTTGATGGCTTTTCCCTGTGAAACGCCGCACAGGGTTTATTTTTGTTGCCCTTGGGATGTTTTGTGCCAGCCTTGTTCGGTTTCCCTCCCTAGTTTTTAACAGGCAGTCTTTGAAGTTGGGTTGGGGCTGAGCCACCTTGTTGGCAGCCTGAGCGTTCACTGTTGACTTCTCTCTTCGTTGACTCGTGTGTCTCTAGCAGTCTGGAAGGGGAGCGTGTTGAGAGGACCTCTGAAGCAATGTTATATTTGTGGAAAGGGGAAATAAACTCGCAATTATTCTCAGCCATTATTTGTCACGTGAAAAACGTTGCATGCTAATGGCTGCAGATGGTTTAGACAAAAACTGTACGCGCTGAAAGCCCTCTTCATTGGAGCTCTGGTTTGCTGTCGTACATTATGCTAGAGCGGAAGAGGGTTTGTTCTGCCTGCAGCTATGTATTCCCCTTCTTTGCCGTTGCTAGCACAGACCTTGTTAATATGCATCTGGCAATGGTTAAAATTTTCTCCATCAGTGACTTCACATTTATGCATTCAGACCAAGGATCCTCCTAAGTTAAATACAGGTAAGGCCATGGGTACACAGGAGCCTTTGGTACCTTTAGAAAGGCAGATGTGAAGGAGGCAGCGTTATGGTTGTGGTCTCGTATTTTTGTGCTCTTGTTAAAGCTCAGGATCAGGTTTTATGTTAAGACGTATTTATGTCTGCATAAGCATATTGTGCCTCTGTGTGTGCGTGTGACTGTAGACACAGTGATTGCTTCATACTGTGGAATAGTAAACCAGCCCTATAATGTGCTTATGTATTCTGGCTTATTCATCAAAACCAGTCGAGACAGCTGTAAAGTGTTACTTTGAGTTACAGTTTATACAGTAAAAATGAGAAAAGGTTGCATTTGATAGAAATTAGTCCATTAAAATAACACAAGGTGAAGAAGGAAGGGCGAGAGGGCGGAACAGGAGTTGGAGTTCAGCGCTCCTGAGGTAAGGTGAGTGATCAGGAAAGATTTCCATGGACTGGTTTGGTCTTGCCATTAATCACATTCCCCACAGAAGTGTCCAACAAATGGACGTGCAGCGATGCACTTGGGTAACTACGCTCATGAGCTGCTTTTCTTTATTGCAATGCTAATGCTCATTGCTGTGACGTCTTATTCTTCGGTGATGCTCTATGTTCGTATCACCAGTGGGCACCCTCTGTAGGTACTCTGGAAGTTGGGAAGGTGTGGAAGGCCCTGTGCAAATCCCAGATTGCAGTTTTCTGTCTGCCTTTTAGGTGCTGATCCCCGAGTACAGTCAGCTCTGTTCAAGGCCGTGGTTTTCTTTTACCTGTTGTAAAGGGGGTGTTGCTTCTGACAAGAAGGCTCGTAACACTGTAGGAAGGTGACCTGGCTTGATAGTCAGCTAGGCATGAGAGAGCAGTGTGTAGCCAGCTAAAGCTGCTTCGATGGTCACGTGCTTTATGGGAGAAGAGAGGTTTGAGGAATAAGCCTTTATTTGGCGGAATGATTTTGTCGGAGCACTGGAGGCAGATAACGGGATGAGATGAAATAATCTGACTGCTCTGGAGTAGCCCAGCTGCTGCAATTTTGTGTCTGCTTATGTGTTTCAAACTAAGAGATTTTACAGTTTCCTTTGAGGCAACAACTGTAACTGTTTATGTGGAGAGCTGGCCCTCACCTTGTCTTTCTCTTCCTCCACAGGTGCCGGGCACACTGAGCCCATTGATCTGTGTAGCATCTGTGCTGTGGTCCATTTATTGAAGATGTGAAGCAACGGCAAGTCTGAGATTGGAATTACTGATAGACTGGAGAAAATCTTAGTCCTTGTGATGCACATGGACATGCTGGATTATAAGTAATTCTAGCTTTTCCCCTCCCCTCCCTTCCTTTCACTCAGCTATCTCAGGGTTCATAGAGATTTCAATGGTTCGTGTGCCTGTAAGTTTGGAACAGAAGTGACCAAAAATGGGGGACCAGCAATTGTATAAGACTAACCACACTGCCAACAGCAATGAGAACTTGTACTACCAACAGCACCAAATGAACTCGCTTCCGTCTCTAAATCATAGCTACGGGACCTCTGTTCTGGATGCTCCCCAGGCATCCCCTCTCTCCCCACAGTTTCCCCAAGATTCAAGAGACAGTATAGCTTTGCCTGTAGGTTCAAAAAGTCTTGGATCAATGGATACATCCAGACAAACTACTTGGACACATTCTGGCTCAGGAAACCACGTCCCAGTGAGGAACAGTTTGAACAATCCAAGCGCAATGTGGAGCCCCCTCGGGCAGGGGGATTCCCACGATGGGTACCAATATTCCTACTCTCAATCCAGTGATAATCGGTCGCAAAAAATCACCAGTGGGGTCCTGCATAAGCTGGACTCCTTCACACAAGTGTTTGCCAACCAAAACCTGAGGATCCAGGTGAACAACATGGCTCAGGTTTTGCACACCGAGGCTTCGATGGTGGAGAGCTCTGGTGACAGCGCGCTCAGGCAGCTGCTGTCCCAGAAGCCAGCAGTTGAGCAACAGCCCGTAACGTCCAGTGTACAGCGATACCAGCCGGTGCCGCAGCAAAGCCACCAGAGCTTTGCAAGCACGCAGCAGAAGCAGCAGATGCAAGTCATGCAGCACCAGCAGCTGTACTACGACTACCAGCAGCACTTATCACAGATGCAGATGCACTCTGCGTTCCAGCCAGGGCAGGCGCACGTTCAGCAAATGCAGCCCCAGCAGCTCTTGCCGCAGCAGATGCAGCACTTGCAGCAGACTCAGTACTACGCTCAGCCACAGCAGGGACATCCTCGGCTCTCCATGCAGGAGATCCAGCAGCAGCAGCAGCAGCCAGCTCGGCAGCAGCGGCACTGCCCGGTGCCGATAGCTCAGTATTACCAAACACAACCTGTCATGCAGCAGTTACAGCAACAGCAGCAACAGATGCAGTTGCCGCTTCCTCCGTATCACAGGGAACCTGATGCAAAGGCTATGCATGACTCGCAGCAGTACTCTCAGGATCCCAGTCATCCTGTGCAGCTTATCCAGTTGGGAGCAGTGCCTCAGTATTGCTACCAGGATCCCCACGAACAGTACAGGCACTTGTACCCGCAGAGTCTGCTGCAGCAGCAGGACCAGCAGAAGCAATACCCAGGTGAGAGCAGGGTGCCAGCTCTGAACTCCCATCTCGGCCTCACTCCTCCAGAGAGCGCGGAGGATGCCCCACGGCAGGAGATGAACTCTGTAGGTAATGCTGTCCCTCATCGAACTCTTTTGCCACCCTCGGGGGTTCATCTGAACAACAAAAGCTCTCAGCAAGACTCTCCTAGCGCCGCGTGGCCTCAGGTAGGTAATGGCTCAGACCCGTGTTTTGCATAAGAGTAGCAAGGTGTGGAAATGACACTGCTGCAGGAGAGCCAGGAGGAGGTCAGGATGTGAGCTGTGATCACGGGCGTGTTTTGGGGAGCTGCATTAAGAGACTTCTCTTGTCTCCATCTCGGGGTTCAGCCCGGGCTGGTGGCACCACGGAGCTGCTGCTTCCCTCTCGAGGGGCTTTGGGAAGTGTCTGGGGAGGAGGGACCCAATTACAACAAATGCTTCTGGGGCTGGATTGCTCAGGAGCAGTCGGACAACTGCCTGTTGCCAGAAGTAACGCTTCAGGGTCAGAGCAAAGGCTTCCGACAGCAAGCGAGTGCAAGGAAGTGCTCACGGGGGCACTGGTTTGGTAGAGCCGTTGGGAGGCTCTCAGCTCAGAGGCTTTTCATATTAGTAAAATCCTCCACCAGATGCAGCCAGAATGTTGTGGGGACCTTCATTTCTGCATTCCTGTTTTCCTGAAAAAGGCTTTTCTCTCTTTTTCCCCCTCTTTTCTCCCCCTTTGCTCGCAGGTGCCGCTGTCAGACGGCAGGCTGCAGCCCCTGTCCCCAGAACAAAGGTATTTGAACAAGATTGCTTTAGTCCTTTTAATTCAAGTATGACAAATACAAGGGAGTGCTGCGGTGCAGAGGGAGGGAAAGGCACTCTGGGTACCGTTCCCCTACTAGATGCAAGTTTAGTTCTGTGCTTCGTGAACTAAGTTGGTGTGATTTCCACCGTCCCCCTCTGCCCCCCCCCAGCAGGAAAATCAGTTCTTTGCTTTGTGTTCCATAGAAAAGAACCAAAGAAGGAGCAAAAGCAGGGGAGCAGTTTGCCCTCAGTGTTGCATTTGTAGGAGAAGGGACAGTGTGTGCTTGGGATTTGTATCTTTGGCATCGGGGATCCTCTGTTTAACCTGAAGGTCTCACCTCTGAAGGACTGAGGTGTCCTCCAGCACAGTTTCCTCCCATGAGTAGGAGCGCTTGTTAAATGCTGTCATGAGTGGGGAAATGTAGGTCTGACACGATGGATCTTGGGGGTTCTCGGGGTTTCCAATACAGAGGCCTACTCTAAACTTCCCATCTCGGGAGCAGCGGATCTAGGTTATTGCCCACATACTCCACAGCGGTCACCCTGTGCCTACTTGCGGCTTCATAACCATCTAGCTGTAAAATCTCATTGACTTCCTCGACTAAAACTCCTCTTTTTGCACCAAAGGGAACGTGCCAAACTAATGTCTCTTCTTCTGTTCCATGCTAAAACCAAATGAAAACCCACACAGTGGCCAGAACAGAGAAACACTTCCGGAGAGAGCTGATGCGAAGAACAAACTAATGTGTTCGATATGCTTGAAGGAGTTTAAGAGTTTGCCTGCTCTCAATGGTCACATGAGGTCCCACGGAGGAGTGAGAGCATCTCCGAACTTCAAACAGGTAGCAGTCCGGTTTACTTCAGTATTTGGCTTTCTCCTTTCCGTGTTTGCTTGCTTTGCCATGCTTTGCTTCGCTGTCAAAACTCGTTCTTCTCGGCGCTCTTTTGTTATGTCGTACCCTCTGTAAGCAGAAAAGCATGTGAATCTGTTAGCCTGTAGGCCAGAAGTCTCTCTTTCAAGCCCGAGGCAGTGAGCTTGTCCCTCTCTTTCCCTGCATGTTACAAGAACACATCACAGAATCAGTTAGGAGCATCAAGTTTTTTTCCCCTTCCTGTTTATTACATTAGAAATATCAGGAACATCGAGTCTTCCTTATTTTCATTTGGACTACTTGGATGAGTGAGGGATGTTAATTGGAAGCCTTCCCAGGCTTTAACTGAAGGAGCAGGATTGTTGAATCTTTGACAGCCTTCTTCCCAAGTGTTTTGGTTCTATAGGTATCAACAAATACCAAACCAAACACGTGGGTTTGAATTGTTCTGCACGAAAGAACTTGCCCTGTCAGTTGGTTTTTCTCTGTCCTGGTATTTGATGAGTTCTGTCCGAGCTGGGAATACCACAGGAAGGCAGAGAGCCATCAGAGTTACACCATCTGCATCTTTGTTTCTAGGTGGGGGATGGAAAATTCTGTCTTTATAGCGATAAAAAGAGCACGTGTTTATCTCCCCTCCTGCGATTTATCTTGTGAAGATGCTTCATGTGGTTATTTTCCACCGAGGCTGGAGCCTGTGTAGGAGTCATAAGTAATCCACCAACTTCGTTCAAGGCAAACAGAGTCCAGGGAGCAGCACCGTTGTGTGTTTTGTAACTCTGGCTGCTCCTTCTGAGCCACGGTGCATACCTTGTGTAGTGTGTTCATCCAGCAGTAGCCTCCTCACTCGGGCTGAAAGCCTTTAATTGTCTGTACAGGATGAAGGAGAGACCCCACCACAGCAGCCGCTGCCTAAAGAGGTGGATAGCCTCGCGCCCATCGTCATGCCAGTGTCTGTCCCTGTAAAGCTTCTGTCGCCCGAGCCCAGCACGCAGCCCTCTGCCAGCACTGCCACAGTCAGAGACAAGCCTGCCAACCCTGTGTCAGATGACGAGATGCCCGTGCTCGTGAAGATGACTTACTCGCCACCGTGCAGTCCAAAAGTGGCCAACCCCTGCTCATCCTCTGTGAGTGCTGCGTTTCTTGCCACTAACTGTGCTGTGCGTCTTAAATCCCTTTGCTTATAGTGCTGCTACTTCCTCTAAAGCATCTGTACTCTAGAATATGTTCCAGAGTCTTCACGATGCCCAGTAAGCACAAAAGGCCTGTAGCATCACAGCATTTCTTCCTAGGCCGTTTGGGAATGTTAATTTTCCCTTTGCTGGGCAAGTGGAGGCCTCAGTTGAAAAGAAACAATTTGCAATTGGAACGTAGTATTCCTTTATCCCACTAGAACAAAGGGATTTAGTCTCTTTTTACTGGTTTTGGTTTGGTTTTTTTCCCCTCTCAGGCTGCTTTGGTTTTATGTTATTGCAGTTTTATTTCTTCCTGGTGTTTTTTAAAGGCAGATCTATGTGCTTCTCGTTTCAGCCCAAGGCAGGAGGGCACCGTGTAGTGCTTACAGTGTGTGTGCTCTCGACCAATATGAAGTAATTTTTCCTTTCTCTCTGCATGCGTCAGACCTAAGGGAACCTGATCTAGGAAAAATAGCTATGCTCAGTGCTTTCATTTCACTTGTAAAACTGGGATTGTCCGGCAGCACGAGGAATTGAGGAGTACTTGAAGGAGATGTGGGAACGCTCTTTCTTGTTTTCCTGAAAGGCTCCTGGAGCAAGCGGTATTTATTTCACATTCCAGTGTAGGAACAGATGCTGCTTGTTCCTTCAAATCCATGTTTGCAGTCTACTCCATGATAAGAGGTTACTGGGAAGCAGCAGCACTGCATGGCATTATCTGTGTTACGCAGAGGAATACTCCTGTTTTTCTCTCCTCCTCGTGAGGCTGATGGCCAGAGGGGAGGGGACAGCGTGCCCCATCATGGATCACCTCCCTTCTGACCCTTCACTCGGACGTAACACGGTCATTTTAAATACATATGAAATGTTTTACTCTCTTCCTTTCGGACAGAGGTTTTCCACATAAAATTGCCCTTTCCTGCCGAAGGCAGCATCTCACAACGGTTTGTAACTCAGCAGTGCAGCTTTTATTGTCTATTTCTGGTTTCTAGGAAGAAAAGGGACAGTCTTTTCTGAATCCCTGAGTTCCGAGTGGGAGATCTTCTCTAGAGACACCAGAGTAGGTGGCTTGGGCTTGTGTATTTCTGCAACGTATGTGAAGTGACTGTGTTTAAATCTGCCAGTGTTTGGCTAAATGCGCATTCATTCACTCAGAGTTATGCTTTGCAGTCTTTATTAGTGCCCAAGCAAACTAAACTCATGCGGTTTCCTCTCTGGATCCTACCTTTTATCTAAGCAGTAGCACTGGGAACACTCAAAGACCAAAAGAGCTGCAGTTCCCTCCTCTTCTGTGAAGAGATTGTGCCATTACAGAGGTTGTTCCCCCCCCCCCCCCCCCCCTTTTAATACCAAAGAACTGGAGCTGTGTTGCATTTATTTATACCGTGCTTTGAGCTGTCCAGAACAACTCCCACAAAGCTCATGGAATCAGTAAAATCAAACAGCAGAGGGAAACTGAATATTCAGCAAGGCTACAGGCCAGTGAGCAGGCAGGTGAGGCCCATCAGGATCTACCCAGAGTGGACCTGTCAGGTTGCGGCAGCAGGGCCCACAAGGATGCATTCAGTCTTGGATATTGGGAAACCAGTTCCTGGAGCTTCAGGGAAGTACTGGGGTGATTATGCATAGACGTGATGGTCTCCTTTAATATTCACTGTGATCTTTTTTGCTGGTATAACCACGTTGAGGGTAAGGTATACTGTAGGTGAAGCAGCATAGGAGACGGGGCAGTACGAGACTTCTAGGGTGTTGTCTTGGTTACTTAGTTTTACACTAGTGAGAAAGGAGTGTACCAGCTCTTTCACGTTTAAAGAGCAGAACAAAATGAGCCCTTACCCAAAGACTTGGATCTGGCCTTCTCTTTTTAGGTTTGAGTTGGGGTTTTTCCCTCTTTCTCCTTTATGGACACAAAACTTTCAACATCATCATGAGCAGTGTCCGTGGTTCTGTGTAACCCTCACCCCTTTACTGTTCTGAATGGCCCTTAGCAACAAAATGCTCTGTAAAGCTGCATTCGGGGTTTTTCCTGCAAAAGGAAAACTCTTCCCAAACTTAGCTCCTTTTTTTTTTTTGTTTTTAGAGAGAAAAAATGTCAACAGCTGTTGGAGAGGATGCAGCCATGATCTAACAGGGAGGACAGGACCTCTGTAATCAAAAACATGTCCACAAGCTGCAACCTATTAACAGAAGGGATAAAGGGTGACAGTGCTAATGCTCCTAGAACATGGTTTTTATTGGGTGAACGCGATTCTCAAGAATCACCCGTGGCGTAAAGATTTATGCTGTCTAAACATACACTGCAGTAATTTATGTAGTAGTGGGATTTAGCCGATGAAGCAGACGTTGTGGAATAACCGTCTGCTAATTTTCTGCCACTTCCCAAGTGTATCCTAAAGAGGATCTCCTGTGGAACACCTGAAAGCAGTATCTTTAATACCGTGCTCATCTCCCAGCTCTTTGTGTTCTTAAAGCACAGCCTGAGAATCTGTTTCGTTCCGTCCCTACCCACCCCGGAATCCAGATTCCAGGTTCGCACAAATCCCGTGCATTCTGCTTCTGCAGATTCTTAAGGATTTATTGTTAAATGACTTTTCAAACGTTCATATTCTAGAATCCTAGGCGCGGCACAGTGTGTGTTTCCCAAATGGACATCTACTCCCCTTTTCCCTCCAAGGAAAGAGCAGAGAGTTAAGTTGAAGATTTGTTGCAGCTGGACTGTACTCAGGCTGATGGGAATGCAGTGATAAGAGGCAAAGCATTTGGATTTATGACATTTTTCTTCCTTTCCTGCCGCTGAGTCCTGCAGTAATTTCACTGAGCTCATGTGTCCTTCCCAGGCAAACAAAACAAATGCATTGGAAAGCATCTCATCTAAAGTTTCTAATACAATGTGACTGGGTAATGAAGTAACTCCCCGCAGCCAGCGTGTGCTGTGCGACAGTGCAATTAGAAGTGGCCAGGGTGTTCTGCTGGAGCTGAAGAAGGGCGTGGGAGACTCATGGGCTGGGAGAGCTGTTTCCTACACCTTCAAGAGCTGGAAGCGGCCTCTCCGTGTGTGGCTGTGGCTCAGCCCTACCCTGACCCAAAGGGCTTGCTGAGGGAGGGGAGGGTGACTTGTCCTGCTTTTCCTCACTCCCCTGAGGTTTCTGTGTAGCGCTAGATAATGTATTGACCCAGGCTTATGTGAATAAGTGCCTGGTGGTAACAGCATTTCCTGAGCTGTAGGGAGCTATGTGCAAGCCACGTTTAATCATGCCTAAATACTAAAGTTCTGCGTGTTTTCCTGTAGGAAATCAGCAAAAAACCTCATCCAAGTGCTGTAAAATTGGAAGAAAACTTCAAACCATTGCAGGACAAGAAGAAGTATCGGCACAGACCCGAACCTCTCTTCATACCTCCTCCTTCCTGCAACTTCAGCATGTCCCATTCGGGTGCCACCCTGTACCAGAGTCAGCTTCGCTCTCCCCGTGTCCTCGGGGACCATCTGCTGGACCGGACGCATGAGCTGCCCCCCTACACTCCACCGCCGATGCTCAGTCCGGTTCGGCAAGGGTCGGGTCTCTTCAGCAGTGTCATCACGTCATCTCACAGCACCTCGCATGCTCAGCTGCCCCTTACGCCACTGACACCTACTCCACGGGTACTCCTGTGTCAGTCTAGTAAGTATTACGCTTGCAGGGAGGCAGCACGTAGTAAATACCAGCTCTTGTGGTGTTCCCACATTAGTGACTTTCATGTGTACTCACATGCATGGCTGGTACAGCTACTTCACAGGAAAAGCCCGTCTTTATTGGGGTTTTTGCCTTGGATTTTGTAGAGGCGGTGTTAAAGTGAACAGAGGAGCCTAACCAGCAAGTAAGGCTGTGATCTTTCAGTGTGGTGTGCCTCAGGAGGGGGCCACCGTGGCTATCGTTACATCTGGGCCTTCTGAAGTGGCTGGGCCACTGGATCTGGTTTGAGATGTGGGGTTCCTTTGAAGTATTTTCTTACGAAGCACTGAACGAAAAGGTGTCTAATCACACATGATCAGGGCAGCAGAAACTGCTACAAGTTGAGATATTTCTGGTACCTCTCTAAAAACGTCGACAGTTTCTGCCTAAATGTTGATAAAGGGTAATTTTTGGCAACAGACCGGAGTAATGTTGATGTGAATGGGGAAGTGGCAGTGCATCCACTGCACTGGCGGAGCGTCAGCAGTGGTACCGTCGCTACCAGAATACCCTTTTAAGCTCAAGCACCAATCTCTGTTTCAGATAGTATTGATGGAAGTGTCATTCCTGTGACGCCTGGGCCTGGAGAACAGACTGTTGAACCGTAAGAAAAGCCATATTGGTTTTGTCACTGCCTTTATAGATAGCTCCAGACTACAGCGTGTGGCTTAAGTGCTTTGAACCAGGCAGGTAGTGTTCAACTGCCTGAAATCACGTTGGGCTGGGTGTATTTAAGGCTGCTCTGGATGATGGCTGAGGACACTGGAAGCAAAGTGGCTGTGAGAGATGGAGATGCCGTGGCTCAAAGATGCTGGGAGAGGCTTGATGGGAGCCACTGAAGGTGAAAGAGCAGTTAGCGATGGGTGGGAAAGGGCCGTGAAGGACACAAACACTGATCCAATACTGTTGTTTAGACAGATAGATAGGTATTAACTGTGGAGCTTTGGAGAGGCATTACCTGGTAGGTTCCCCAGGTCAGACTGCAAACAGGCTTGCCCCTCCATAGTAATGTCTGTTTCTGCTGAAGAGTGCCTTTCTCGATGAAAGGTACTGATCTGGCATCTAAGCTTCTTGCTAGTCAGCATGCATACAGGCTAGCTTGGGTTGTCCACAAGGTAGGATGTCTCGGTACAGTTTAAGTTATGTATTTAAACCTTAGTTTCCCCCAAGAGATCAGTTCTGTCTCTGTTCAGAATACCCCACTGAGAGTCAAGCATTGCGTAAAGCAGTCTGACACAACTTCCTGGCATGCCAGTGTAATAAAAGTTTAGTTGGAAACAAAAGCGAAGGCTGATAGCAGCCTTCCAGTATCTGAAGGGGGCCTGTAGGGATGCTGGGAGGGACTCTTCATTAGGGACTGCAGTGACAGGACAAGGGGTGACGGGTTCAAACTTAAACAGGGGAAGTTTAGGTTGGATATAAGGAGGAGATTCTTTCCTGTGAGGGTGGTGAGGCACTGGAATGGGTTGCCCAGGGAGGCTGTGAATGCTCCATCCCTGGCAGCGTTCAAGACCAGGTTGGACGAGGCCTTGGGTGACATGGTTTAGTGGGAGGTGTCCCTGCCCACGGCAGGGGGGTTGGAACTGGATGATCTTAAGGTCCTTTCCAAACCTAACGATTCTGTGATTCTGTGTGACTTCTGGGGTGTTTTTTCTGCACTTCTGTGTGGTTGAATTCTTATTTATTTATTTATCCTTATAGACGGATCAATATCGGGTCCAGATTCCAGGCTGACATTCCTGAGCTGCAGGACAGGTTGCTAATGGAGAAGGATGTGCACAAGGCTACTTTGGTTTGGAAACCATGGCCAGAACTGGAGAACCAAGTCTTCCAACAAAGAGGTACAACGACTTGCTGGTTTTAGAAGCACATCAGCCTGTGCCTGCTGAAGAAATTCACATTGATTTCTCCTGTACCCTGTATAAAACATTCGAGAGAGTATTAAGTACTGAGGATGCAGAGCAAGGGACCAGAACTGCCTGTTACAGGTTCCGAGTAACAAATGACATGGTGCCACTTAAAGCGAGGTCAGGATGAAGTGCTTCTGGCAGCCAAGGGGGAAGTGGTGTCTTGGGGTGGTTTTGGGTGCTGAACTGCCTGGTAAGGGCAGAGGTCACAGATGAGGGGCAGCTCCTGGGGCTGCTCTGTGACTGTAACGGAGAGGAAACGTGACAGGCTCAGCAGCTTCTACCAGTCCTGAGCAGAGATTGTTCCTCCTTCCAGCACGGTTCATTTCTGTTTCTCCACCCTGGCTGGAGCCTTTCTGGCACAGCAGCACCAGTGGCCTGGCAAGCCACTGCTCACAGCCAGGTCTCTGGCTCTGCAGTAGCCTGGCCCATCCCAGGGACTGCATTCTGCACGTCCCATCACGTCCCCTCCTCAGTGAGAGATCCTAAAACCAGGAGGTGAGGTGCTGCGGAGAGAATATGAAAGCTGCTGCCCCAAACTCTGTTGTTTTTGAGTGGCATTGCAGAATCCTTGGCTCTGGGTGTTTGACTAACAGGCTAGTGTATTAACAGTAAAATGCTGACTTGTTTCTCGCAGTGGAAGACCTTTTAAATATGAGCTGTTCCAGTGTGTTACCTGGTGGAGGAACTAACTCAGAATACGCTTTGCACTCTCTCTTTGAAGCAAAAGGAGATATTATGGTAAGATAAGAAGCTGAAAGGGGAGATAGGATCCTCTTCTGCAGATAAATTAGCATGCTTTATTAAATGGATTTAGCTATGGTTATATAAAAAAGAGATTTCTGATTGATTCGCAGTGAATGACTTTTCCCTTTCATTCTCTAATAAATTTAAATTTCAAAGCAGTGCCTCTCTGAAGGCTTACTGTATATTTCATATAGATAAGATTACTTAGTTTATAGCCTTGGGGCTTTGAATGTGTCCCAGTACTTACTCCAGCCCCGAGATTTCACAAGCTTTCTCTTTGGTCACAGAGAGCTTAGCCCGTCCTCTCCTAGCCCTTATAAAAACCCTTTTCTGTAGCAGCAGTCATAGCTAATTATTTATTCAGAACTGTGAGGTCATTGCACCCAGGTCTCATATAAATACTGCATTTCAGATATTTGCATTAGTTTAGTGATGGGAATGTTACTAAGTAGGGCAAAAACATGCGTTTTGCCCAGCGTTAGGGAAAGACAAGGCCCTGAGCTGGTTCCTGGAAAGCCAATTTGAAACAAGCTGCATCAGAACACAAGGCTGGAACGAATCTCATAGGATTGTCTAATACAGTGGGATTTAGCTTGTGTCCCAGTTTCCTTAGGCTTTGTTAGCTGGGTCTGAGACAGGAGGCTAAACTTACTGTCAGGATGTGATATTTGCTATACAGGAGGGGGGGATGTCTGCATTGTCAGAGGAAATATTTTAGGGACCCACAGATCATCTGTCTCCCTGATCCAAAGGAGGATTAACTACACTTGCTGTCCTTCCTTACAGATGTTGACCTAACAGATGCTCTAAAAGCCTTTATGCTATAAATATTAATGCTATCAAACCAACCGTTAAATGTTAGTATTAATTATCAGCACTGTAAACATATTCGTATGCGGCAAGCAGAAGGGAGGGAAGAGCTGGAAGCTGCTGAGTAACGGCTACATTTGTGCTGAGGCAGGACAGGGGTGCTTTAGGTGCTCTGTGAGGTACATTGTTAATGGGCCTTGGAGTAATTTGATGCGATTTTTGTGTGGCAGAAAAGGAGGAAATGAATTCATAGCCTCATACCAAATAGTCTTCTGAATGCAGCTGTGTGCCACAGCTGACTGCATTTGTTCATTCTGGTTTTCCCTGCTCTTTCATTTAGGTTACTCTTGAGAAGCTGCTGTTGAGGAAGCCAGTGAGATTGAAGTGTCACCCTTTGGCAAATTACCACTACGCTGGTAGGTTTCCCTGTGCTCTCTCTGTCTGCTGGTATCTAGAGTCCAAGGCTGGAATTCCAGACTGGAGCATGGGATCACGCTGCACTCTCCGCACAGGGGTGGCAGCATCTAATAGAGAGGTGACGTGGACTGTGCTGAGTGGTACTTCTGAAGCCCTTTGTGGCAGGTTTGAAGTGTTTTGCCTGTCCGATGATGTACAGAAACTTGGCACCCATGTAGCTGAGTGGGGTTCTACAGATTTGAAACTGCCTTGAGTCACTTTTTTCCCTCTCTTTTAAAACTCCTTTTAACACTGCTGCTATTAGTAGATCGTAATTTACTAGCAGGAAGAGCTCCATTTTGTGGTATATACACATCTGCCATCATGCCTTCTTTTTCTTAGGTCATGGTGAATAAATGAATATGATAATCATGAGCATCCTTCCAAAGAGGCAGTGCTGTAACTCTTGCTAGTGTTTTAGTACCAAATTTCTGGATTCAGCCAGAAAGAAAGAGGTCTGGGATGGTGACTTCTTTAACAAACACAACAGGAACTACGTGTTGGTGATGAAGGAGAAGTGCTCTGTGGAATACACAAGGTGATGTTAAGCCATTGGACTTACATTACATCACCTAAGCATAGGTGGGAAAAGTCCCTCCATGTTACTGCTTAATGCTTCATGGTAGCTAACTGCTGCTTGGACACCCAGAACAGGGTTTTACATAAGAGACCTGAGACTACCTCCAGTTTTAGGCTCAACAAGAAACAGGCCAAAAGTCTGGTGGTCATTGTAATATACCCATTTCCAGTTCCAGTCATTATGTGACAACAAGTATAGAGACAAGCTGCTTCCTGGCTGTAGCAGCTCACTGGGAAGACTCCCAGGTAACAAGAACTCTCTTGTAAAGCAACAATCTAACCCCTTGGCCTGAGAACGAGAACAGAAACAGGTTTGATGGCAGCTGATAATGAGAGTGAATGAATGAATGTGAAGATTGGGTTTTGGGTCTTGTCTTGGGGACATGCTTAGTGCCTTTGATAATAGCTCTGTTGTAGTCCAAAGGGTGAATATGGCGTGGGTGGAGAAGGGCATCAGCCAGGAGCTTTGACAGGGGTCTCTTGTACGAAGAGATGACACCTAATCATGTGTGAGGCAGTCCAGGGCATGAGAACAGGAAGGTGAGGAGCTATCACGGCAGCCTCATCCTCAGTGAGCAATCTAATTAGCAGAGCAGATAAGACACTTCTGCCTGTGTGGCAGAGGAGGAGGAGCAGTCTTTACTGAAGCGCCTTCAAAGTAGTTTCAGAAGGTGGAGGGAGAAGCCAGGAGAGGCTATCTTGTTTAATCTTTTAAATGAGATGATGCTGATCCGTATTACCTAGCGCTGAGACCTGTGGACATCAGTGTATTCCTATTCCTTAAGCAGTAAAGGAAGTTTGATTCTGTTTATCACAGCATGAAACAAAATCTCACCAGTCTGGATTTAAGCACCATAAAATAACAAGACAAAGCTTTACTTTCTAATGCTCTTGAATGCAGCATGTGATTGGAACTTGCATTGACAGCCTCGCTCTAGCACCATGCAGCAGGTCTTGAATAATGGTTCATTTGTGGTTGATAATCAGCCACCTGAGCATATGGGAATTTCTTGCAATCTGGTGCATGAATAGCTCAATGTAACTCCAAGTGGCATTTGTGTGGGTTAATTCTTTGGGCTTTCTGCTCCACACTCAGAAATTGCAGCTCTCGCTTGTCACCACGTTTAAAGGTGAAATCACGGAAACAGAGCATGGCACTGACTCGTGAGCATTAACTGATAGCACAATCAATCCAAATTCATCCTTAGCATTGCCCTTGGATGAGGGTATAAGCGAATAGGTTGCCTATGAAACCTGTGGGCTTGTGAGGGAAGCGAACTGTAGAACTTGAGGCTTTCCTGTTGTGTGCTGAGAGAGCTGGGCATGCTGGCCCAGGGCTTCTTGGGAGAACACCCTCATCTCTTTGTCCTAAAGCTTTGCCATCTGTCAGGATGGTGTTCTAGGGAAGAGAGGGAACATGTATCTAATACAGGAGGAGCACTGTGGCAAACACTTGCAGTATTTGCATTTGAAGAGTGGAATTTCTCCAGAGAGAATTGCAGGTCTCTGGAATAATGTGCTTCAGGCAGCCTGGAACCTTCTTATACCTGCTGGGATCGAGCGTGGATCAGACCCAGCGTATGCTGTATGTGATGGATTTGAGCCACCTCTCAGGGTGACTCCCTGGGTGCATGTGTAGCCCCCTTGGAACTGACAGGTTGGGTCCAAAGCCCCCAGATTTGTAGAAGATATCTGTAGTCAGTGATGCAGTGCAAAGACAACAGGGCCTGTAAAACAAAGTGTACGATAAATGTCTGAACGTAAAGATGAGCTTTCAAATTTCATCCGTATTCCAAAGTCCAAAATTCTTCCTTGCTGCATTGCAGATCTCTCTCTATACACGTTCTCTATATCTCCTTCAAGCTAACAAGAGCAAAAGTGGTTTCCCAGCAACCAGAGTTAAAAACAGCTTTTCTTCTGTTTCTTTTCCTACACAGGATTTATTCTATTAATTAGGTTACTTCCAATTAACCCGCATAATCTTGCAAGGGCCTCTGCTAATACCAAAGCTATTGGGGAAATGCTGTAAGGCCTGAATCCTCCATGGGTGCACAATAAAATTAGTTCATGGAAATGATTCTATAGTATTTATTTTTCAGGAGAGTGGGGCAGAGGCAGGAGAGCATGACTGACTAGAGAAGTTTGCCAAAGCCTAAAGTCTCTACTTTGGTGGTTTTATGCCTCTTGGAGTTCTAGTTCGGCATAGTAGAGCAGGCCACTGGACTGAATCAGTGCATTTGCCCCTGCCCAAAGGGATGAAATATCAAATCACTGGCAAGCTGCCTAAGAAAGGAATGATGGTGGTTCAGGGTGGGAGAGATGGCGAGGCAGTGTGTCAGCAGAAAGATCTTTGGGTGGTAACAGAAGAAATAAAACTGGCTTGAAGCCAGTGCCTTTCTCTGACGTTGGACAGAGCTTTAGTGTAAATCTCTGTGGAAATTACAAATATGTGCTGGGAAAGCCTGCAGAAAACAGGTTGCAGGGAAGTTAATTTAGTCGTTTTGAACATATGAAGGAGGAGTGAGACACCTGCTCCGAGACTGCGAGCCTGAGAGCTGGCACTGAGAAACAAAACACTTGCAGCTAATAAAATCTGTGCGTTTTGCATAGGCGTACGTAACCTGTAGAGTTCAGTGCCATGCATGGTGCCAAGCCCAAGTTAATTTAGTTCAGTGCAGAGGCAAGCATGTCTGTGGAGAACGGTGACTTGGACAGCAATATTAGGGATTTCTCTGGATAAAAGTTGTACGTGTTTCAGGAGCTTTCAGACAGACTGAAGGAGACTTTTCTCATGGTGTAAGTCATTTCAAAGGCATCTGCTTTATAGCTTCTTGCATCTCCTCCTTTAATGTACGTAATGCTGCCCACTCGTACCAACAGGACACTGCTTTGATGCAGTGTAGCAGTCTTGTGTTCCTTCTGTTTGACTAAGACTGAGGAAGAACAAATTCATTTCAATCTCGGTGTTGGTTTCACATTTCCATGGCCAGTTAGGCTGGAGAAGCAGACCCAGAATAACAATATTGGAAAGTTTTATGTTCAGCTTCCATTAAATGTTCATAAAACACTTTGTACTGCACATTGCTGCAATATCTACTTGTGACCTCTGTTACAGAGGTTTTAAGTGTCTTGCATCAAGCCACGCAAGTGAAGAGCTGCAAAAGCACCTTGTAAGAGTTACGATGCAGAGAATAAAATAATAGGTGGCTTCCATGCAGTTGATTGTAAAGTGGCATAAATGGCAATAAGCAATACAAGCTTTACGTATAAAATTGAGCTCTGTTGGTGATACTTCTCAATTGGAATGAGACCTTGGGATTGCAATGCTAGTTTTATGAAAGCATCTGCTCTGTATTTTACAGCAGCTAAAAAAAAACCCAAGTCAAATGTTAGAATAGAGAACACGGTGATACCACTGTGTGAGTCTGGATTGCTTCTGTGTTGAGTATTATGCACCGTTCTGCTCCCTTCATATCTATAGGCATTCTTTAGTAGTGGAAGAGGTTCGGAGAGGGCAGCAGTAATGGCCATGAGAGGACTGCATGACCGTTACAGAGAGGTCATGCAGTCCTGGACAGCATGGAGGTGACGACTGGAATTAGGTTACTTTCTCTTCCAATTGAAGAACAAAGGGTCCTCCAGTGAATCTACAGGGAGCCACGAGCCAAAGAGTTCAAAGGGTTTCTTGGTCTGTGAAACTCCTTGGCAAAGGATGGTTTGGGTGCAAGAAGTTCAATCGGTTGAAAGGAAGAGTGGGTCAGCACTTACAACGATAATTACTAAATAAGCAAATTGCACCAGACTTGGGAAATCCCCTACACTGGAAGTGGTCAGAGGTTAGGAAAACTTTAGGAGAGGCATTGTATTTGCTTACCCTGGTCTTACTGTTGTCTAAACAACTGCCTTTGGCCGCTGCTGGAGACCAGATACTGGTTAGATGGACTTGAGGACTAAGTCAGTACAGCCATACTTGTATTTGGGTAGCAGCATGTGCTTGAGGTTTTCCAGTTTCTGTTTCAGATGTTATGTCAGCATAAAGATGGTGGGTTTTTATCATTTATAATGAGTTCACCCTTTTCTTTAAGGCTCTGACAAATGGACCCATCAAGAAAGGAGGCTGTTCAAAGAGGCACTGTCCACCTACAGCAAAGATTTCATATTTGTACAGAAAATGGTAAGGTTATTTCTGTTCAGTCAATTGGGTTTTTTTTCTTTTTGCTGTATTCTGTTCCCCTTCATTTATCCTCCAGTGCCAGACCATCTCCTTGCAGGCACAGAGCCAGCCATGGTTATGAGAACTCTGATCGGAGTAATATAATTCGTTCGGTGTACCTGTGCCTGCAACTGCAGCACCAGTAAAAACCAGGTAGAAACAAATAAATCAAACTTGTTCCTCTTGTTATTACATGTGAAAATCGTCACACCTGGAAGCTCAGGTGATGGCATTGTGCGTGTGGAACAAGCATGGCGTTCTGCTGTCATCTCTGTGTTCTTTGGCAGTCTGTTAAAAGGTACCTGAGTCACTGGCATTGAGCTCTGTGCCAGAAAAGGTTGAAGCCTCTTAATAAAGAAGGAAATGTTTGGGCTTAATTTTCATGTTCTGAGCTACAGAAGTATGTTCTCAGTCATTTCCTGACTAAAGTCTAGAGAATCCCAGAGAAATGAAATGAAGATGAAATAGTCACCACAAATTTGACTGGAAAACAGTAACTAAAAATCTTACTCTACAAGAGTATTCCTGTTGTAGTCAAACTGGGGGGGGGGGGTGGTGGTGTTTTCTCCATTTGAATCTTTGAGAAATAAAGCCTGCCTCTTAGAATATACTGACCAACTCAGTATATTGGGTTTCCCCCTGTACTGGGCACTGGTGAGGTAGGACTCTCGCTTATTAAAAAAGGCAAGCATTGTTTTGCGCAAGCCAGCATCACATTACTGTTGTTCTGACCTGATTTCAGGCTTCTGAAGGAAAACAAATGTTTGCACATTAGGTGTTTGGAGGCAAGCTTACCTCCCTTACACAGTGCCTGCATTATATATTATATGTCCTTCTTAGTGCCTTTTAACTCCAGCATCCTGGCCTGTATCAGCACCAGTGTGGCAGCAGGGCCAGGGCAGTGACTGTGCCCCTGCACTGGGCACTAGTGAGGCTGCACCTCGAATCCTGTGTTCAGCTCTGGGCCCCTCACTGCAAGAGAGACATTGAGGTGCTGGAGCGGGGCCAGAGAAGGGCAGCGGAGCTGGAGCAGGGCCTGGAGCCCAAGTGTGATGGGGAAGGGCTGAGGGACCTGAGGGGTTCAGTGTGGAGAAGAGAAGGCTCGGGGGGGACCTGATGGCTCCCTACAAGTGCCTGCCAGGAGGATGGAGCCAGGAGGGGCTGGGCTCTGCTCCCAAGGAACAAGGGATGGGACAAGAGGAAACGGCCTCAAGCTGCCCCAGGGCAGGTTTAGATGGAGCTGAGGAACAATTCCTTGCCCAGAGGGTGCTCGGGCATTGGAACAGGCTGCCCAGGGTAGGCCTGCAGTCCCCATCCCTGCAAGTGTTCACACACTGTGGAGACGAGGCCTCGGTGCCATGGGTTAGGGGTGGCCTCGGCAGTGTGGGGGAACGGTTGGACTGTATGATCATGAAGTTGTTTCTATGCTTCTATATTAAAATTGTGTTGAGTGAAAGCAGAACATTGAGATTGGACTGTTTCTGCCATTCCTTACCTACAGGTTAAGTCTAAGACGGTTGCACAGTGTGTGGAATACTACTATACCTGGAAGAAAATCTTGCGTTTGGGACGGAAACACAGAACACGCTTAGAGAAAAGGAGAGAGGAGTGCCTGGTGAGTCTAAAAGAATGTAAGAATACCACCTGATAATTGTTGCGTTCATCCTGTTTTGAGGAGGAGTTTGAACTAGATGATGTAGGTCCGCTCCACAGTTATGAATTCAGGATGAGGAAAAGGTACTGAAACCTGGAAGCAGGCTTGGTTAAGCAGCATGCTGTTCCAGTGCTATGTCCTGCTATCCAGCACTGTCTGCCTATGACCATGCTTCCAGTATCTCTTACACGCACTCTCACTTTCAGACGAGCGGAGAGGAAGAAGTGTTAGAGGAAGATGAGGACATCGAAGAAGACAGAAAGGAAGAAAGGGAGATGCAGAAGTCTCCTGATCCACCAGCTATCCCTCTTGTTGGACCCATAGATCTGCCTGCCCTTCAGAGTCTTTCACTTTCTTCGTCCTCCTTCATCTGTGAAATGCCAAACTGTGGTGCTGTACGTGGTTGTTATATTTAATAGCAGGGGGAGGGGTTGCATGCGAGTGAAGTCAGGGCTTTAGACTATTCCTGGCTGGCGATATCTCCCGAATCTCTTTGGACAAATTATTTTGCCTGCTTTTAAAGCCCAGCCCACAAAACACAGGCAATATAAAACTGAATCCTGAGTTGTTGTATCATCAGAAATACTGTATGGTGACAGCTCTGGTTACCTTTTTGCTGTACAGCTGCAGTAATAGGACGTATCACTGGTTTGTTTTATTATGACTAAGTTTCTCTAACTCTAGTGGGATATAGGTGAGAGCAAGCAGCATTGACCAAGTAGACTGTGCGTGTTAGATGCGTACGGTTGTCCTGCAGTCAGCATACCTCTTTCTGCAGCGCGGTGTTGCTTGGTTTTGATTTCCTTTCTTCCCCCACCCCACTCTCCGTCAGGTGTTCAGCTCCCGCCAGGCGCTGAACGGCCACGCTCGCATTCACGGGGGTACGAACCAGGTGACAAAGCCACGGTGCACCATTGCAGGCACGAAGCAGAAATGCGGTACGCAGAGCGGGTACTGCTCCATCAAGAGTTCACCTGCCCACAGCACGACAAGCGGGGAGACCGACCCAACGACGATTTTTCCTTGCAAGGAGTGTGGCAAGTAAGTGCAGAGAACTGCAGTATCACATTTGCCCATTTATTTTCTAGATGAATAGTATCGCAGCAAACCCTTTATTTTGCTCTCATGGTCTCAAAAGAACAGGTTTGCCTTACCAAAACCCTCAGAGATTGGTTAGCATGACATTCTGGACGTTTTGGAAACTTCACAGCATTTACTCCAACATTCCTGAACCCGTTTACCTGCTGGAATGTCTGCATTTGACAGTCCAGCTTCCTGCCTCATCACACACTTGCATGTGACAGTGGGTCACTTTTTGTCTGTTTCTGTGCTTGAGTTTGTCCATGCTAATGTGGGATCCCTTCGTGTTTTCTTTGTTGTGCAGGACTGTTGTGAAACTAAGCACAGGGAGAATTAGGATGTGCATAGACACTGAAGCAACTGCGCGAGCCACAAAATACCTCCGGCAGTAGGAGTAGGCCATTTTGATACTGTCAGGATGTATAAATCTGGTAGTCTGTCCCGGAAATTCTCACCGTGGCATTGCAGACTTCACTGACTTCTATTTCAGGACAAGGAAGCAAATGTACTGATAGGCTGTTGAGTCTTTTTTGGCTCACTTCATCAAAAGGAATGCGTTTTTATCTGATTTTTTTTTTCTTATTCCTTTCAAATTTAGGGTGTTTTTCAAAATCAAAAGCCGCAATGCTCATATGAAGACTCACAGACAACAAGAAGAACAGCAGAGGCAGAAGGCTCAGAAAGCCGCTGTGGCCGCAGAAGCGGCAGCCGCTATTGCGAGAACTACTGGGCCCGTTGGGCATGGTTTGGTCCCTCTGGATCACATGAGTTTGGTGAAACATGTTGGAAGTGTGGGTGACATTGACGATGATGTTGTTCAGGAGCTGGGTGACGTCATGGAAGAGAATGAAGTCATGGATGCTGACCTTTTGTTGGATGATGAAGATGCAGATCTACTGCAGGATGAGGCTGAGTTGTAAATAAAGTTGTTTGATAAAGACAGCTACTGAGCACACCCTGAATGGAGCAATCAGGAAACCTGGACTGCTCCTTTATTCCCCACTGATTGTAAACTACCTGTTGAAAATGATAATCCTTCTATCCAGGTCTAGAAAAGAAAAAAAAAAGAAATCTGCTTCCCCCCCCCACCCCCCCTTTTTTTTTTTCTATTAATTTGTGTTTTGGAGGAAAAATAAATAATTGGTACAAATATTCTTATAAGGTGTTTTTATCTGAGCTCATTTTGCTGATAACTTCCAAGGCCACTAATTACAGAAGTTCATGGTTCTGCTATCACTTCCCTCCAGATGGTCCCGGTAGGATCGTTAGTCTTTAACTCCTTCCAAGTTTCATTTTACCCCAATTACAAGAATGATCTTCACACACTTCTGATGGAGCATTTCTTTTTTTTTTTGCCTATGCTGGATCACCTCCAGCATCTTCTGGAGACTAAATGTCATCTCTGTTAAGGAGATAATTACGTTCTTTGTGCTGTCATTTTTAAGGGAGGTGGAGGAAAAAAAACCTATTCTGATTTAACTGTGAAATAATGACAGGAGTGACTGTATCATCTGCAGTATCGCAGTCCTTTTTCAGTTCTGTCTTGCCTTAATGCAGACATGTTAGGCAGTTTGCAAAAGCATTGGTTACACTGTATGTTTTAGAGCTTCCATTTTAGCGAGGTTTTGATCCGCCGATTTTAAAATGACCTAATTCGAGGACTGAAGAAAGATGATTGTACTGTGGTTCACATCCTCTGACGGGAACACTGAATCGGGAACACTGAATCAGGAACACTGCCTTGGGAATCAGATTGCACTGGAAATATATTTTGCTGTGACAATAAATCACACTGCTGAATAGCCATCTCGGTGGTTTTAGGAGAGCGTATGCTTGAGCAGCGCAGGAGCTTGCTCTCTCACCAGGCAAATACAGGGAGACATTCTTGCCCGTGGAAGAGATTGGAGCATATGCCTTCTGCGCATGTCAGTTATTACTTGTAGGCATGAACTGTTACTCTTGTGCCATTTTTAGTCCTCATTACATCAAATTCAAGCACTGTTTGTTTAGCAAAACAAACTGCAAAGGTGAGTTGATGTTGCTGTTTCGTGAGTGTTTTTCCTCCCTTAGGTTCAGATCCACATGCTGGGTGTCTGACACCATTTATATGACTTCAGATTTGGTCCTCTAAATAGGATCTCAAAAGAGTTGTACCCTGCAGAATGAAAGAATTAACGAAGTATTGGAGTTAGGTTTGAGTGGACCTTTAATGACACAATATGAATACCGATTGTAGAGCTTTCACAGGTAGCAGCACTGATTTTCTTGTGAATTTTGCACAGTTAGAAGAGTTACTGCTAACTTTATAAAATATTTTGTAAGACTGATTTCAGATCTTCCAGATTTCAGGGTCGTTTGGGGTTTTTTTATGGGTTCGGTTTTGGTTTATTGGGTTTTTTTTGCCACATTCCTAACATCTTGAGCAGAATCTTGAGAGAAGGTGGAGCTTATTTTGTGCTTTCTTCCTTGTATAACTATGCAAAATGAGGGTAAATCACAGCACTTTTGTGTGGTTCAGAAGTTTCAAACCCGATGGGAATCGTTGGCATCAGGCAGAGAGGTGCCCTCTCTGTCAAAGCCAGTTACGTGAAGCCAAATGACTTGAAGTTTCTACTTAAGGTCAAACCTTCTGATACTAAGGAACAACCCTTCAGGAGAATGGAAATCGCTTCTCAGTCTCTGGTTAGTGAAGTTCCTGTGCATGTGGTGTTTGCTTTAGTGCTCTGGGGGGCCGTTCCAGAAGGGTTTTTTTTTTTTCTTAGTTGGTGTTGACCAGCGGGTGGAATTCCACTCCCTCTGGGATGTAAGGGATGATGTTCTCAATTACTGTACCTGTGAGTTTCAGGAGGTCAGGCAGCCGCCTTTTCTTTCCTGAACTGCCAGTCAGCAGGCTCCCCAGCTTGCTGTTCCTGTCCTGTTACACCTTACTTTTACAAGGGCCACGCCACCCAGGCTCTGCAGGCTGGGTGCTCAGCTGTATGCTGCCAACTAGATCCACTGATGATGAATTCCCACCGAAAATAAACGGAGGCTTTCAGGAGCAGTAACTTGTGGTGGCTTTTAGGAGCCTGTGTTAGAAACCACTGGGCAGAGCCCACTCTTTCTCTTCCAATCTGGTATCATTTTGAGCTTCTAAGGATCTTTCTGAGAAAGGCTGCTACGCTGGGAAATGGAAATGTGGTTTTCAGATGCGCCTGTTAATGGTAGGGGAAAAACTGAATGTTTAACAGTGCGGTAATTGAAGTCACTCAGAATTCTACTTAAAGCACAGAGTGAAATACAGTAGAAACGTGGGCTTGATTCTGAAGAGCAACTCTGTATTAAAGGATCTACAGTGGAACTTTTATACCATGCATTGGACAGGTATCTGTGCTAAACAGAGTATATATAACTATATATACACATATAAATGCCTGATTCTGTGACATTAATCAGGTGCTGGTTTATTGTACAGCCAAGAAGATGTTAGAGCAACGACGACCAAAGAAGTTACTCATAAAGGAAAAAAAAGTGCACGATTTCGGCCTCCAACGTTGACTTCATTATTCTTAAGTGTTGCATTGGCTGATGTTAAACAGATGCTGTTCTGCCTCTTTGTACCTAAGTCGAACACAGTTTTATTTCAGGAAACTTGTTTTCTTGTTGCTGGTTGATGATGGAAAACTGTTCACTATTGAACCGAGTCCTCTTTGATAAAACCTGTACATACAGAAAACATATTTTATGAGAAAAATCTTATTTTCAATATTTAAGTGTTATTTTATTAGCAGACGGTTGTACATATTTTAGGTGCTTCCGTGTAAAAAGCGAACTGTAATTTTAGGTGGCAGAGGAAGTAACAAAATAAACAAAAACCTAATAAACCCACCCACTCTACAGAGCTTGTGATTTATGCTGCTCTCAGGTTCCTCTGGTTGCTGGTGGACTTGGATCTGTGCATTAGGATGGTTTAGTGTTGTGAAAGAGTCCCTTTATCCTCCCCCCCCCTTTTAAACACCAGGTACTGATCAGAGCCTGTGTTACGTGAACGGTGATTTATACGTGTAAAGAGAAAGGGGTTGATGGGATGTTTCCACTCGCTTTGGTTGGCTGCGTTTCGCTAACACACCTGCGTAACTTTTACTGTTTAAAGTACTTTTAAGGGGTGGGGGAGTGCTGAGAAACAGGTTTGCGTGTAATTGCTTTTCAAAGGGTTGCTGAATAGTTCCAGGCAAAAAATTATACGTGTGTGTGTGTGTGTGTGTGATGAAAAGGGGGTGAGAAGGCATTTCCAGTCACTTTTATACTTTGGTAAATGCTGAAGTAACAGTTCAGTGCAGTAGGCCTGTACTTTTAAGGGGGGTGCATGTGTAAATACTATACATATATATATATATATAGGTAAATAGGGAGGTAAATACCATATAAATATATACGATTTACTTCTGTACAGATGGGTGGGCAGGAATATTCCTGGTTAGAACGAGCTGTGGTAAAACGTGGTCTCAGAAAGGGGGGGGGGGGACGACACGGGACGGGGACAGCTGCAGAATCCCCCTTTCTACCTCTCCCCCCTCAGCAGCATCAGCGGCCCTGCCTCGGGGTGGGGAAGCTCTCACAATTCCCGGCCCCTTCCCTCCTGGAAAACGGGATGGGAGAGCGCGCGGGAGGGGCGGCCCGGCGGGAAACGGCCGCTCCTTCCCTGAGGTAACCGCCCGTGTGCGGCGGGCTGGGAGGAGACGGGCCGGGGGCTCCGCGCGGGCTGCACGGAGCTCACCCGCGCTCCCAACCCGCCTCCCCGCCTCCCCGCCTCCCCGCCCCGGAACGCGGCTGCCGCAGCGTCCCCGCCTCGCCGGCGGTGCCGGATGAGGCCGCCCTTCTCCTTCCGGGGCGCTCGCTATGGTCGCCGGGTTGGGGCGGAGGCAAGATGGCAGCGGGGTGGCTGTGCCGGCGGCTGTGCCAGGTGAGGCGGGAGGGGGGATGAGTGTGCCCGGTTCTCCTTCATCTTTTCCTTCAGCGCCGGAGGGGAAGAAGGGAGCTGGAGCAGCCGCGGCGTTGAGAGCCTCGGTGGGCTCCGCCGGGCAGGGGAGGTGCGGTGGCTTCCCTTTGGCTGTGGGAGGGTTGGGGATGTGGTTCTTCCCCTCACTGTCGGTCCTCAGAAGGCTGTTCTGCAGGCTGGTTTTGCGGCAGTCGCTGTAAGGGAGGGTGAATTAGAGGTAACTTGGAAGACATAGAGTCCTAGAACAGTTTGGGTTCAACGCTCATCTGGTCCAAGCCTCTTAAATGCTGGATGCAGATCAGAACCTCTATTGTATTGACTGTGATTTATATGTGTAACACACGCACAGAAACGGGCGAAGCCCATCCGTTTCTAAAGTTTCAACTCTTAAAAGCTATAATGTAAAAGACCAAAAAAGGAAAACTTCTTAGGCTACCAGTGTTTTCTGCTGGTTTTGTTTGCTGAAGAGTGATGGCTTTCTTTCCAGGTGAGAAAAGTTTACCCTGGGGATTTCCTGTTCATGTTCTGAAGCCCTAACCTCTTTTCATGTGTATATGTGCTGTGTTCTGGGCTTGCTTGCCGTTCAGGCATGTGGATACTCCAGAATCTGACACCCAAACAAAATGAAGGCTGTTTTGCATTAGGAGAGGAGTAATTTTGTTCTGTGCGAGGCCTTGTTTCACGCGGGAGATGGAGTTCTGGAAGTGTTGCAGTCCGAGTGTCTTCTTTACCTACTACGATGGCCATTAGCAAGAGCGTGTCAAGTATGTTTAAACCCTTAAGGAGAGACCTCAGAGCAGCTCCAGTGCCTAAAGGGGCTACAGGAAACCCGGAGAGGGGCTTTGGACAAGGGCCTGCAGGGAAGGCCAAGGGGAATGGCTTTAACCTGCCCAAGGGGAGACTGAGATGAGCTCTTAGGCAGAAGCTCTTCCCTGTGAGGGTGCCCAGAGAAGCTGAGGCTGCCCCATCCCTGGCAGTGCTCAAGGCCAGGTTGGACACAGGGGCTTGGACCAAGCTGCTCTAGTGGAAGGGGTCCCTGCCCGTGGCAGGGGGCTGGAACTGGATGAGCTTTAAGGTCCCTTCCAACCCAAACCAGTCTGGGATTCTATGAAAATATACTTTATTGCCTGCTGAATGCCATCTTTGCTACCTGGGGTACTCATCGTGTCATTTTGTCAAAATTGCACCGAGCACCTCTAATCTAGTTTACAAAACCTTTTTATTTGGTGCCTATGTGCATAACTAGTAGCAAAAGGAGACGACACGGGGGTGCACACTCGTGAAATGTTGTAAAGGCTGTGGAGCTTAGGATGTGGGACAGAACATCGTTACGCTTTGTTTTATTCATGATCATGTGATAAAGACTGTAATTTTTGTATCCAAAGCCACATAATACAATATGATACGAGCGTACATACCTTTGCGTGCAAGTAATAAATCCATGTCACAAGGTAAAGCAGTTAGAAGTAAAATAATACATAGGAGAGACTGTACACACACACACACACAAGAGGGATACTGCTTTTAGTTACAATTCCAACCAGTAGTCTTATATCTGTCATGTGGGGTCAGGTTCTGTGCCATGTCCTTGATTCACAGTTGCCCTACAATGAATACAGTCTTTTATGCTCATGGGCCTGTCTGCTCCCTAAAGTGATGTCAGCTGATGATGTTAGTGTACTTCTTATTGGTGTTGAACGAAAGGGAGGCAGTGTTCTCACTTCAGAGATAGAGAATGGAGGTGCAGAGAACACGATGATTTTATCAGATTTATTTTTTTTAGTTTTAGGTATTAAGGCTCAAGTAGTTCCGAACGTGAACTTTGAAGCATTTGGAACGGTCATGAAGTATAGTGGCAGATGTTCTGTACTCCTGAAGTTGCTTATTGTGTCATGCACTTAAGAATGTAACACCAGCACTTGCCTGTGAGCATCTGGATCTGGAAGGCTTGCCTGAGGGGAGACGTTGAGCTGTGCTCTCCAGACAAGAGGCTGCTTTGTAAATGGGACACTCTTCCTGCTGTCATCTTCCTTATTGGGTGCAGAATTTGTGGGATAA